AAAATATTAAAAGTCCTTCATAAAGAAAAGTTGATGAAAATTTATAGAACACATTTAGTGTAATCAATGTCATTAATGATTGATTATGAAAAATACATTATTGAAAAAATGTTGCACTTCTTTTATCGGATAGGAAAATAGAAAAATAACAAGAATTCGATTTGTTTGGAGGACATAATTAAGTCTGCTATTGCTTTATTGAAAGAATGATTAAAAGTGATTGCGAAATTTCAGGATGATATTTTTTAGTTTTCACAAGATTTGTTTTCAAGTTGGCATGGGAATAAGACCCGTGTCATTGGTGAATACGGTGTATTCGTTTTGATGGAGACGAGAATCCCCTCAAAACCGGGAATTGAAACGGGGATCCTTAAGGTTAAAAATCAGGGATTGTTACATGTCCCTATCCTATCCCGTTCCCGAATATTAAATATATATATATATATATATAGGGAAATTTATAAAAATAACCATTTTATACAACCGTTTGCCACATAATAACCGGGTTTTAGAAGTTTTGCGTATTTGACCACCCAGATCTCCCCAAAGGGTGATCCGTACTGGTTTGGGGCGATCCGTACTTTTTTTGGGGAGATCCGTTCATTTGAATTCTAAAAAAAAAATCTTAAAAGAATATTACTGTTCACCTCGAAGACTGGGTTTGACCTCGCCCTAGGGGGCGATCCAGGCTGTCCCATCGCCCCCAGGGGCGATCCAACCTTTTATTATTAATTTTTTTTTGTATTTTTAATAAAACTGATATGCCATTTAAGTTGTGTTTTTTTAACTTTTTTAGAACTAAAATTCATGGGTAAAAGTTTAAAAATAAACCATTATAATTATGGAGACACAATAATTTTTTTTTGATTTGGGTTTCTTAAATCAGATATAAACCCGTAAAACTCTAAAACCCGGTTATTTTGTGGCAAAAGGTTGTATAAAATGGTATTTTTAATAAAACTGATACGCCATTTAAGTTGCGGTAACGTGTATATATATATATATATATATATATATATATATATATATATATA